GCGGCACTGAACCAAATGCATCTTCTAAATCGAAAAATGTTACATGGACCGTTTTCTTGTTTGTCTTTGCTTGGCTTATAATCTCTTCAAGGACGACATTATGCTCAATTGTGCCATTAATGCCCGGCAGAAAGGCCTTCTGTACTTTCTCGTCAATATAATTATTCGCAGTTAAAAACTTGGTCAGTCTTTTTGCAAGAAGGAGATGGTAAGTCTTCGCAATAGAAGATGTAAGAGATATCATGCGAAAGTTTCCTGGGTCGCTAGTCGGTCCTTTCTTGTGTAGTAATTTGACCACGCTGTGTGACCAGGAAGGGGGAGGAGTTCCCAGAACATTCACTTTATTAAACAGGGTGGCTAATATGTGGTGGAGACACTTGAATTTGAATAATATCTCATACGGGATACCATCAGGACCAGGAGAGGATTTTAAATTTGCACTTTTTAGTATACTTTTTACATCCTTTGGACGTAAGGGCTCACAATTGAATGGTTCGAAATTTGGAGATTCATGAGTTATTGACAAAAAGGGGAACCAGTTTAAATTGTTCAAGTCTATGATACCGGGTGTGCTGTATTTTTCTGAGTAGTAGGTGTTTGCAAATCCTAGGTCAAAGGTTGGTTTCAATTTCTTCTGCAGTAATGATCCCTTGACAGCTTGTTTAGAAAATTCCCAACGGTTTTTGTGAAACATTTTTTCTTGGTGTGTGGTAGTTTTGAGAAGGAGTCTTCTTTTTTCAACTTTTTTAAGCTCACTAATTGCTTTCAGACAGGAATGGAACTTTTTCCTGTCCTCATCAGTGCCGGCTCTGGAAAAGGCTTTCTTTCTCAAAACCTTTTTAAGATGTTGAAGTTCTGTGAGGGTCTTATTAGGATGGGAGATAAAACCTTTTGAATGCTGTTTTTTCTCATCATCAAACAGTTCTTTGTTTTCTTCCAGGAATTCTGTAAGCAGAATGGGAAGCTGGTCTCCTAATGTTGCTAAATCTGCTGGATCGGTACATCTTGAAATATGATGGTGAAGAGGTGACAGTTTACGTTTTAGTGATGAATCAAGCACTGATAAATCTTCACTATTGATTGATGGAGCACAGTACTTTAAAAGTGTAACTAGGGAAAGAAGAAGATTCGCCATTTTTTATGTTTGTGTTAACGGTTCAGAGTGACAGGTTTGACATATTGTCTAAAGGGTAGAATTCCCAGTTAACCAGTCATCTGGAGCTCACACACACATGTCTGCTCGGGTTGACCGACTATACTATCCCGGGCCGGTAGCGTACAATTCGTCATCCCCCGGCAGACAGGTCTCCAGGGACCTAGACAACAATGATATGTAAAGTTCCTTTCATTGATCTTAATATGCTTAGGTCCTTCATATGCCATGGTCCTTTCATAGATCCTGATATGTTCAGTTCCCTCCATTGATCAAGATTTTATCAAGCCCCTCAATTGATCAAGATATTTATAAGCCCCTCCATTGATCATGATATTTTCAGGACCCTTAGGCCTTGCTGTTATTGCTGAAGAGGATCATGGCGATGAAAGCCCAGAGAATGCGGGACTCGTTGTAGCTCTCCTTGGACTTCTTGATTTGCTAGATGAAGAACATCATAAACTTCTATGGAGGTCGCAGCCGTCCCAGCTAGGTCGCCTCTTCCTAGTGCTGACCGAAGTGCTGGCTCGACCAGCGGTTCCTAGCGAGTGGGTCAGCCTAAAGCTGTCTCTAGTCAATACTATTGCAAGTACAGTGCAGATGGTAAGGTTTTTTTTAATAGACATTATTGACCATTTACATTTAGAGTTGGGGACGTTGGTTCTTTTATCAATCCGTTTTTTAGTAGTTAAGATTAATCTTTAAAATAAGTACACGTCAAATAACCGTTATTTTTAAAGAATAATTTAACCCTAGTTCTTGCATTTCTAAAATGTGTTCTGTCTTTTTGTGCTTTCAATATAACGAATTTTGGTTACATTTCGACAATATTGGCTTTATTTAAAAAATTGAAATCTGAATTTCCAAATATCTCCGGTAATATTGACAGCACAAAAAAGTCAGACCACATTTTGGAACTAAGAGAATTTTATGATAAATTGTTTTAAGAATCGTACATGTAAAAGCAGGTTGAAAAACGTATGCCGCAAACAATTTCACATATATAAGACGACCTTCAAGTTGTTTTGCTACTGTCATGTTTCGTGGTACACCCTGTACCTAGACAGTGTATATTATGTTTTCAATTATATCTATTGAAAATGAAAAATTATTAAATTCAAATTATAAAAGGAGCGTACCTAAGGCTCCTCTGGGTTATGTTAATTTTCAGATTCATATTTGCTGAATATGATCTGTTTAAAATTTTGACACAGTTTCGTATCAATTTCTCGAGACAAGAACATCAGATAGAACTCATTTAGGTCGCGATCAACTTATAAAATATTTAGGTTTCAGCCCATACCCCCTTTCATTTATCCTTAACAGTCCCTTTAAATATTCCAGATTGGGTTGAGCTTACCACACCTGAGGTTTGATAAACAGCAGTGGATGGGATACTTTCAGCTAGTAGGTAGGGAATGGGATATTATCAGCTAGTAGGTAGTGGATGGGATATTATCAGCTAGTAGGTAGTGGATAGGATATTATCAGCTAGTAGGTAGTGGATAGGATATTATCAGCTAGTAGGTAGGGAATAGGATTGGCATCGTTCGCAGTTAGATTTTAAATATTCAAAGTTTGCATGCCTTAAAAAGTCTTGAAAAGAATCTGAGAGTTTAAATATTTTCAAATTTTATAAGTGTATGCTCATTTGTTTGCATTCATTAAATTGTGCAAACTGCAAACCAATCGTTATTTATTTCGCTTTCGTTATTCATATCACTGAGCTACACTGCAGTTGTAGTTAACGGTGACAAGAAGTAGGAACAGAGTATATATTCAATACCTATTGTGTGACCAATTTCAAAGAGCCAGCCTAAATATGTTTTATAGTCGAAGTAAAAAATGTTTGCATAACATTAGAAGAAAACTTGACGCTTAAAAGTAGAAAACTAAACGTTTCAAACCGAATGAAAAACAAACAATACCCATCTTTACTTATAGGTCAGCTTATAACCTCCCCACAACTGCAGATAGAACTAGTCAAAAAACAGGTAAACTCTTTTTTTTGATATTTTATCATATCGGCGAAATTATGCACAACTTAAAGGGGTAGAGGTTGTAAACGGAAATTTGCATGTCAAAAACAGTGGATAGCAGTAAACATTGCTTAATAGAAAAATTATAATTTGAAGATGTCATTTCTGTTTCTATCGGCGCTCAATATTTCTTTATAATTTAATGCTTTACAGCTTCCTTTTACAAATATATCACAAATATTTAATAAATTTTACTGATTTCGATTTTTTTATAATAATTATTTTCATTTCCTGCAGGGGCGGCTATTCGTCGGACTTGACGAAGTAGAAGATCTAAGGAAACCATATTTTAAACATTTTTAGAATTTTTCCGATTTAAAAGATCTAAAGAAACCAGTTTTTGATAAGAATATATATATTTGAGTTGATTTGATATTAGAGATTAGAGATTTGAATCAATTGTATATTGTTTAGTGCAATAATTTGTTAGTTACATATTTTTCTTGAAAATATTGGTTTAGAGTTCCACTTGCAGAGCATATGGTACAGACATGGAACACATGTTCTCAACAGATTCAACTTGTTCCATCCCTAGTAGGTCAGGTTTTCATACAGAATAATTCAAGTGTCAGTTAATAAAGAAATTATACCGATATAATCGTCAGATTTTAAAGGGAGTGTTTGAGAAAAATGGAAGGGGGATTAGGCTTACGGCGAAAAATAAGCGCTTTTGATCGCTACTAATCTTACTTCTATCTGTTGCGTCTATAAGGAGAAAATTGTTAAAAACGACTTGTACCGAATAACGTAGCATCCACCCAAATTGAAAAAATTGCAATCCACGACTTGGATCGTAAAGAAATCAATTTAATATCAAACATATCATTTAGATATTACAGCCATTAGTCATAGATTATTTTGCGATGCATTCGTATATATTTGATATTTCATAATATTTTGTATTTGTTTTTTATAAAATGCACTTGAATCGCCAATTAGTTTGTCCGCCAGATGTCTCTGCTCTCGATGTTCTTAACAATTCCACGTGGCAGAGACACCTAGCAGAAAAAATCGTTGTTTTAAGTGCATTGTATATAAAAGAAGTAAAAAAAATATTATAAAATATAAACTATATACAAATATGGCGAAAAATTATCGATGACTCTAGTTTGTAATATCTGAATGAACTGTTTGAAATTAAATTGAATTTTTTCACGATCCTAGTCCTGGATTGCAACTTTCTCAATTTGAGTGGATGCTATGTTATTCAGCATAAGTCGTTTTTAACAATTTTTTCCTTTTAGACGCAACAGATAGAAGTAAGATTAGTAGCGATCAAAAGCGCTTATTTTTCGCCGAAAGCCTATACCCCCTTCCATTTTTCACGAACACTCCCTTTAATACGGATTGATTAATTTATAGTGTAGGTAAGTTATTCATTCAGATTAATAATAGTCAGGAATTTTTAGAGGCAAATCTAAGTTAAGGTCAGTTATTCTATATCCATAAAGACTTATTTTAAGGTAGGCAGTTAAGGTAGACATGGTAGTTAAGCTGAGAATTCAGTTTTGTAGAGAAATTTTTTAGAAATGTTTTAATCCTCATAGGTTCATTTTAGAGGGACGATTTTGATAATCTGCTTATTAAAATAACGACGACGAAAATGTAACAAAATTACTAACGTAAACTAATTCTATTAATAAATGTGATTTCAGGGCCCATCCTAGAGGTAACTCTGATTCCACTGAGTAGGGTTCGCAGAATAATTCTATTAATAAATGTGATTTCAGGGCCCATCCTAGAGGTAACTCTGATTCCACTGAGTAGGGTTCGAAGAATAATTCTCCCTTTGCTGGTCTCCCTTATGCAAACTGAGCAACAGCATAAAGGAAACTTTAGACAGGGAATACTTCCAATCCTTTTTTGAACCTTTTGGGTCAAATCTTTTAAAAAGTTGCTCAATCAGTTTCCTTCCTCTAGTAGTTTTATGTACTAGGCTATCAGGGCTTCTATTTCAATCTTTCAGCTTTTTTGCTTCAATAAAACAATGAAGAAGTAAAAATTCGCTTATTTACAATATTAGTGTGGATAATAAAACTTTTACGAATTTGGGAGACAAATTTTTAAAACTCTTATCTTTTAAAATCCGGTAATGTGAGGTCCCACAATAAAAATCAGCCGGATCGGTTAAGCCGTTTTAACGTTTATTGGATACATACAAACACCCAGACACCCAACCTTACATAATATATAGAAGGCAATTAACACACACAACCAACTCTTTCTCTTGATAATTTTTTATTTATTTCGTACAGGGTTACCCACAAAGGATGAGACTTCAGAGACGACTGTGTGAAATATATACCGTCTATTTCCTTACATTCATAATTCTCTGCAACCGTAAATTTGTTACTCTCTTTGTCAAATAATTGTATAGGCTATTAAACGACTATATTCAAGGCAAAAGACTTAACTTAACCTTATGATCGTCAAGTCTTAATAGTTTCAAGTCGTCTTTACAGTCTCATCCTTTGTGGGTAACCATATAGTTGATTTTCTGTATATCCCTGGAATTAAACAATAACAATAATTTTTTTAGAAAACGTTTTAACTGATTTCGAAAAATGTGAGTGGTCCGCGACATTCTTAGATAGTTGCGCAAGCCGCAAAAGAAATAATCAAATTCAAAACAAATTAATTAAAAAATATTATAAAATATAAACTATATACAAATGTGGCGAAAGATAATCGATGACTATAGGTTGTAATATCTGAATGATTTGTTTGAAATTAAATTGATTTTTTTTCGGTCTAAGTCGTATGTTGCAATTTTCTCAATTTGTATGGGCGCTAAGTTATTCGGTATGAGACGTCTTTAACAATTTTCTCCTTATAGACGCAACAGATAGAAGTAAGATTAGTAGCGATCAAAAGCGCTTTTTTATCGCATTAAGCCTATACCCCCTTTCATTTTTCGTGAACACTCCCTTTAATCCCCCACTGCACCCCCCTTTAACTTCAAATTTTTTACTTGGAAAATAATGAATGAGAGAGAGACAGTTTAGTTTCACCAGGTTTGACTGGTTCAACTACATTCTTTGTGTTTTATATCAATATAATGAAGAGGACTTTCGATTTCAATTTTGATTTCTATCAAACATTCAAGCCTCATAGATACACATAAACATGGAAACAAAGAGTAGGTGTTAAGTAACAGCTTCACTTTATTTACTTTTTAACTTGTAATTTGCTTATTAGAATTCAACACTTCAATTGGAAAGTCGTCTTCATTACATTGATATAAACGCCGACCTCTGTACTTTTTAAACAAAATCTTCCAACTAAAGTCTTATATTTCTAAAATATCCAACTAATATAAAAGAGGATTGCAATCTTTGATGACACAGACTGAAACAGAACTGATCGACAAGTTGGACATCTTAATCAGTGAAAACAAGGAAATCACAACAATTCAAATCAAATATATATATTTGTCTCAAGCATATATAAATAACGTATTCCTGATACTTTACAACAAGCATTAAAATCCATCTAATTTAATATACGGTTAATTTATATCCCAATTGATTGTAATTAGTAATGAGTTTCCGATTGACGGGAAAAATAAAACACTATTAATATTAACAACCAAAAATACAACAGGTTAAAGAATGGTTTGATTTTGTTATATTTGTTGTCGAAAATGGTAATTTTTGGTTGGTTATTTTTGACAGTTATACTTTTGGTGATTATATTATGTGCTTTACATTTTTCCCGCCTATCATGTTCCCAATTTGCCAGCCCAATTTCGTTTAAATAATCTATTAATATTAACAAAAATAGTTTTCTCAATTTATAATCAATTAAGTTTTATTTTTAAATACCCGAAAAGACGGATTAAAAGAATTGTCTTCTTTGATCGTTCATAAAACTAAGCAATGTCCTCTGGATTTCTACTAATTTGACACAATGTTACAGAAACAAAAGTAGAAATTGTTTATATTCTTCTAGCTAGAAAACTGTATTGATCAGGTAAAGATTTAGATGGTACCATTGTGAATCGGACATGCTATATATAAATGGAGTGTATTTATTATGATATTGTTGATGAAGGGAGATGAGGAGTACAGGGAGATCTTCAACTCCTTGATGTTAGATCTTGTAGAGGAATTAGATCCAACATGGAGGGAGTCAGGACAGGTAGAACATGATT